TCTACTTTATTCTTCTGATCCTCATATTACGAGATTAAGACCTTTACAAACAGTAATAGTAATAAGAAAATCATTTGATCCAGAAGTAAAAGACATGCTTTTAGAAGAGAATTTTGAATATACGCAACCTGAATCTGATGATTATATAGACGAATAAAATTTTTATCGTGCCTTGTACTGTTTTGTTATTGTTTCTATTTTAAGTAATTGTTGTTGTTGTTGTTATAGCAGCATACAAATTCCCCAAAGACTTTTTGGGGAGTGTTGCTGGAGTGACAGTCCTTGGCCAGATATAAATCTGGGTCGTTCCGGTTACGTAGACCCGACTGTTTGACGTAGGAGTTTGGTATTGGTATCAGTGCGGACGTGTAAATTAATTTGCCCTGAGGACGGTTACCGAAGCGTAATCGAAATATATCGGAAAGAAACACCATAAAACTTGTGTTTTCATAAAAAAATTTTCTAAAATTGACCTCGATCCGGCAAAATACCAAATTATTTCGTCGGCTTAGAGTGTAAACCTGCTAAATACGTTTTTTGGCAAAATTGACCTTTTGATGCAGTTCGAAGGAGTGGGTGATTCCGCAGTTGGCAAGCAAAAAAAATACGTCAATATAAAAATATAATTGTCAAAAATTGTTTGATGAGTAAAGCTGCTAAGTAAATCAGTTCAAATTCAACTGCTAATTCCAACATATTGTGCTTCTGTCGCTCGATTATTATTCTAACTTAGAGTATTACTTTATGCGTTTAAGCCAAGGTAATAGCCAGCAAATAAGCTTTAATTTTTTATTTCTCAAGGAAATTATTGTTACTAAACAGAAGGAAGATTAAATGCAGAAGAGTTTTCCAGCGTGTGGGTAGATTTGATAGAAAAAAATGTAGTACCAAATAATAGTTCCGGGGAGCCAATTACAGTAATTTTTTATAGCGACGAATGCACATATCAATAACCGAAACTGTATTATGGCTAATGCTTTCTTATCCACAGCTATACATAACAATATCATTATTGAGCAAAAGTTTCTTGAAGTAGGCCATACCTAAATGGAAGCTGATTGTATCCATTCACTATCGAACGAGCACTTAAGAAAATAGATATCCATGTTCCTGCAGAATACATTAAAGTATGTAGATCAGCTAGAAAAAATCCAAAAACATATGACGTAACTTATCTTAGTTACACGTTCTTTAAAAGCTTTAACACAGTTCAATTCTTTAATAGAATTCGTCCCGGTCGCGGCAAAGGTGCTGCTAAAGTAACTGATGTACGTACCCTACGGCATAAACCAAGTGGCGACATACATTTCAAACTAAGATTCTCCAACGAATGAGAAGTAATACCGCAAAGAAAATCCCCAGTAGCTGTTTCCTTGCCGTTTTCTCACCTTCCGAATTTATACGAGAGTAGGCGTACGATTGCTCGCAGAAAGTATGAGATCTCCAGTATTTCAAACGATTACTTCCTGAAGATTACCACGCCTACTATGACAATTTACCTCATGATTGAATAACATGTATTATACTTTCTGACATTATTGAGTTCCTACTTAAATTATCTTATATGTGGACTTTGTACTATTAATTTGAGAGAGGAATACTTCACGTATAGTTACTAATATATGTTTTATAAACTGCCTATTTTTGTTGCAATAAACGGAAGAATAAGTCTGGTTGTATTATTTTATATATTTGATTGTTTTTATCTATGGAATCCTATTTTAATTAACATTTAAATTGGGCTCGTAATCACAAAAAAATAAAATAGAAACAATTTTATTCATACAAAAAACCTGCTAAATCCACTTCAATTTTGAAAATACAAAAACGTAAAACCTGCTAAGTTAGAAATTCGCCAATAAAACCATAAAAACGTAATTTTTTTCATTCGTTCTGGATTATGGCGATGAAATAAATCTTCAAGGTTAGCTTTCCTTGAAGTTTTTCGGCTAAAACGTTCACGATACGCTTTGAAATCTTTATTTCGTGATGCGAAAAAAACATGCGGCAGTTCAGAGAAGTTTCTTCAGATGGGGGATTAATAGTGTCGAGAACTTGTTTGGCTTCACTGCGCTTTCCACTAGCTCGCAGGCTCATTTGAGCTGCGAACGTTAATTGTTCGTGGGAATAATCTTGACGAAGCTAGGCAGTTTTCCTACGTTTTGACTGGTCACTAAATTCCCCAAAGTCTTTAGTGGGCCTTCCTTCTTTAGGTATCTGATACACCACAAAATGACAAGTTTTTTCTAACCACGCTTTTT